AACTCCTAGAAGAAAACACAGGGAAAATATCCTTGTTATTGGTCTTGGTAATGATTTTTTGGATATGACACCAAAAGCACAGAAAACAAAAGCAAAAATAAACAAGTGGGACTACATCAAACTAAAAAGCTCCGTACAGCAAAGCAAACCATCAACAAAATGAAAATGTAACCTACAGAATGTGAGAAAATATTTGCAAATCATGTATCTGGTAAGAAGTTAGTATCCAAAATATATAAGGAACTAATACAACAGTAGCAAACAAAACAAAACAAAAACAAATAACCTGTCAAAAAATGGGTAAAGGACTTGAATAAATATTTTTTCCAAAGAAGACCTACAAATGGCCGACATGTATATGAAAACCCAGGAAATGTAAGCCAAAACCACAAAATATCACATCACACTTGTAAGGAAGGCTATTATTAAAAAAGACAAGAGATGAGGTATTTGGCTGGCTTAGTTGGTGGAGTATGCAACTCTTTGTCTTGGGGTCATGAGTTTGAGCCCCATGTTGGGTGTAGAGTTTACTTGAAAAAAATCTTTAAAAAAAGACAAGAGATAAGTGTTGGCAAGGGTGTGGATAAAAGGGAACACTGGTATGCTGTTAATGGGAATGTAAGTTGGTTTAGTCATTATGGAAAACAGTATGGAGATTCTTAAAAAAATTAAAAATAGAACTACTGAATGATCCAGGAATCCCACTTTTGGGTATATATCCATAGGAAATGAAGTCAGGACCTCAAAGAGATATATGCACTCCCATGTTTATTGTAGCATTTTTAATAATAGCCAAGATAGGGAAACAATCTAAGTGTCCACTGATGGATGAATGGATAAAGAAAATGTGGTGTATATACAATGGAGTATTATTTAGCCATAAGAAAGAAGGAAATGCTGCCATTTGTGACAATATGGATGAACCTGGAGAACAAAATGCTAAGTGAAATAAGCCATGCACAGAAAGACAAATGCGTGATCTCATTTATATGTGGAATCTAAAAACATTGAACTCATATAACCAAAGAGTAGAATTATGGTGGTGGCCAGAGGCTGAAGTTGGGGGAAATGGGGAGAAGTTGGTCAAAGGGTACAAACTTTCAGTTATAAGAGAGATTAGTTAATGTATAGTAGGGTGACCATAGTTAATAAAATTATGTACTTGGAATTTGCTAAAAGAGTAGATTTTAAGTGTTTTCACCACATCCAGAAAAACTGTAAGTATGTGTTTACATATATTAAGTCCTCAAGTGAACTCAAGAGCCCAGCAACAGGGTGGAAAGTAAGATTTACCTGACCCTATCTGCACATCCAGGAGTGGTGGCATGAACTGGGCTGTGCTGAGGGGAACCCAGCAGGAAGGGGAGCCATCAGGACCACCACCACAACTGTGGGCAAGAGCAGTAAGATGCTGCAGTATGTTGATTACAGGATGAGGTGTGCCCTGCAAGATGACCATATCTTCATTAGCACCTTCCAGGCTTTCAACAAGCATATGAATTTGATCTTCTGTGACTGTGATGAGTTCAGGAAGGTCTAGCTGAAGAACTCAAAACAAGCAGAAAGAGAAAAGTGAGTCCTTGGCCTGGTGCTGCTTGCGGGGAGAACCTAGTCTGAACGACGGTAGAGGGATCTCTTCCCAGAGATACTGGCATTGCCTGAGTGCCACTTGCTGGAGCTGCCAGGGACCCAGGGATTGGAAAAGCTCCTGGCCGAAAAATCCCAGCTGGTGTTCCAATGCCCCAGGCTCCTGCAAGACTTGCTGGGCCAGTTTGCCTATCTGAGGGGTTGGTGGGCCATCCCAACAGGTGATGACCACACAAGGAAGAGGCAATGTTGCAGCCGCTGTAGCTGCTGCCACAGCCAGTAAGTATTGCAAGGGCCCCATCCCAATAGCCACCTGGCTGTGGGGGCCCTCCCCTACCTATGAGCAGAGGGCACCCCCTTCCAGCATGACGGGCCCACCACCTGGCATGAGACCTCGCATGGGTCCCCCAGTGGGGATCCCCCTCTGGGCAAGGAACTCTAATGGGCATGCCCCTCCCAGGGATGCGGCCGCCTCCCCCAGGGATGTGAGGCCTTTTTTGACCCTTGGCCACAGAGTTATGGAAGTAGCTCCACAGAGGCATGGGCCTAATACCCCAGGGCCAGGTTACCACAGACCTGTTTGTTTGTTATGCCCTTGTTCTCAGAGTCTCATGGGATTGTCTGGTTTCCCTTTCAGGGCCCCCTCCCCCTGAAATACACCCACCAAGGCCCTAGACTCATCTTGGCCCTCCTCAGCACCCTGTTTCCTGTAAGGCTGTACATAGTCCTTTTACTTCCTTCTGGTCTGTGAAACTAGTTTATAATAAACTATTAAGAATATTATAAGTGTAAAAACTGAACCCTCATGTTAGAACACCTTAAAAGAAAACATGACATTGTACAATCTAAATATATACAAAACTTTTATTTGTTAATCTTACCTCAATAAAACTGAAAAAAAGATTACTCAATTTAAAAATGGGCAAAGGGGACCACATGGGTGGTTCAGTTGGTTAAGCATCTGACTCTTGATTTTAGCTCAGTTCTTGATCTCAGGGTCATGAGTTCAATTTCTGCATTGGGCTCCACGCTGGGTGTGGAACCTACTTAAAAAAATAAAAATACATAAAAAATGGGCAAAGGGTCTGAATAGACATCTCTCCAAAGTAGATACACAAATTGCCAATAAGCACATGAAAAGAAGTCCTCTAAATCATTAGTCATCAGGGAAATGCAAATGAAACCTCAAAGATATACCACTTCCCACACAGTAGGATGGCTATACTCAAACAAATGTTGATGAGGATGGGAAGAAATTAGAGCCCTTATACATTGCTCATGGTGTTGTAAAATGGTTCAAACACTGTGGAAAATAGTTTGGCAGTTTCTCACAAAAAGTTCAACATAGAATTACCATATGACCATGCAATTCCACTCGTAGGTATATACCCACAACAACTACAAACAGGTAGTGAAACAAATACTTGTAAAGGAAACAGTATTAATAGTTCAATATGGAAACAGCCAAATATCCATCAATGGATGAATAGATAAATTGTAGTATACTCACACAATGGAATATTATTTGGCCATAAAAAGAATGAAGCACTTTTACATGCTACAGTATGAATGAACCTGGAATATATTATGCTAAGTGAAAGATGGCAGTCCCAAAGGCCCACATATTGAATGATTTCATTTATATAAAATGTCAAAAAAAATCTTTAGAGTCATAAAGTAGAAGAGTAGTTGCCTAGGAATGCATGGTTTAGGGGGAGATGGGAAGTGACAGCTGAAGAGTCTGGGGTTTCTTTTGAAGGTGGTAAAGCTGTAAATTGATCTTGGTGATGGTTGTACAACTCTGAATATACCAAAAGCTACTGAATTGTAGACTAAATGGGCGAATAGTATGATATGTGAATTAAGTATCAATAAAGACATTTAAGAAAACATGTCCTGAAAGGATACAGGTGATATGAAAGTAGTGTATGTGCCTATCTAAACAAACTTCAACATTCTTTAATGGAATACATCAAAATATAGGACTCAACAAAGTAGAATTAACAGTGTCTAGTATTCATACAAAGTTGCTAGGCATAGGAAGAAGCAGAAAAATGTGACTCATGCCCAAGAAAAAAATGAGTCAACAGAAATAGAACTAGAATTATCAAAGATGAATTAACAGACATACGTCTTAAAATAACCAATACAACTGTTATCAATATCCTCAAGGGTTTAAAGGAAAATGTGAACATAATGAGAAGAGCAATAAAAGATATAAAAAGAACCAAATGGAATTGCTAAGGATGAAAAATAGAATATTAGAAATGCAACCTGTCCTGGATGGGATTAACAGAAGATTAGCATGCAGAAGATCAGTGAACTTGAAGAAATACCCAAAGAAACTCTCCAATTTTAAGCATGGTGGGGGAAGGCTCCAAAAACAAAAATGAACAATTTCAGTCACTTGTGATACAATATCACGAACTATACTACACATTTAATCGGAACACTGCACCTAATAGTAGAAAAATATGCATCTTTTCAAGGGTACACAGAACACTGATCTTGATAGAGTATATTCTGTTTCATAACATAAATCTCAACAAAGCTTAAAAGATTGAAATCATAAGAAATATGTTCTCTGACAAGAAAAGCAGTACCTAAGTCTAAATGCTTGTATTATAGTAGAAGAGGAATCTCAAATAAGTTATCTAACCTACCTTAAGAAACCAGAAAATAAAGAGCAAAATAAATGAAAAGGAAGTAGAAGGAAATAATAAGGAGCAGAAATCAATGAAATTGAAAACCGAACATAGAGAAAATCAATGAAACCAAAAGTTGGTTCTTTGAGAAGATCATTACATCTGATAGCTCTCTACCCGGAGCTATGAAGAAAAAGATGAGAGAAGACTTACCAGTATAAGGAACGACAGTGGGAACATCACTACAGATTCCACAGATATTAAAAGGATAATAAAGGGATAGTATGAACAACTCTATGGACTTATATATCTGATGCTGGGTGAAGGATAGAAGAACATGTCCTCAAGCAGGAAATAGTCCCCATAATGTGTGAACTTCCCAAGACCTGATGATCTGCAGACCTTTCATCTGGAGTCCCCAGCCTGTCCCCCTTCTTCATAATATTCAATCGATGGTTGTTTATTTTGTTATTGAGCATCTACTCTGCGAAGGATCTGCCCTCGCTCCTCTGGAGATGCCCTGCCCCAAGCTCAGTCCTGTCCTCGAACCCGCTTCCTAGCCTGAAGCCATATTTCCCAGCATTCTTGCAGAACGCTGCCTCGCCGCTTTAAATCCCACCTCATAATGCTGCTGGTCTGCGTCAGGCAGCAAGAAGAAAAGGTTGCCTAGTGAAGGCTAGCTGCGGGGCCAGGCCTTTCTTCCGTCACTTCAGGAGCGCCACCTGTTGCCTGCGGAGCTATCCTTGCTCAGTCCGCTGGTCCGGAAGAGGAGGGACCGGACTCCGGAGCCATCACCCTCGTGGCTGACAGTCTGCGACGCACACATGGGGTCGTCTGCGTCCAAGGCTGCCCTCGGGGCGACCACCGATGAGCCCACAGAACCGGAGGCGAAACACCTGGCGGGTGAGTAGGAGGCCTGCTACGGACAGCTCGTGAGGCCTAGGTGCCTCTAATGTCGGCACACCCCGCTCCCCTCCCCCAACCCTCATTTTCTTGCAGGAGCCTTGAGGGGAGATTGAATTCTTACCCCCCGTCATCTTGGAGTGAGCCTGGAAGAGAACCACTGGCCTTTTTAAGTCCAAACTCTGAACTATTTATAAGTTACTCCAACAACTTAGGACACACGAAGTGGTGGAATAACAACCCAGCCTTCTGAAAAGGGCCTAATTCCAAAGTCCACCCCATCCCCCTTATAAATCATTACATTCGGCAAGACTTGTGAGATAAAGGAAGGAAGTCTATAGAGCAGATCATCCCATAAGCAGTCCTAACCTAAGGTCAATGAATAGGCTTTAGAATGTCCAACAACATTTTTTGTGCCCCTATGAATGTTTCCAGGGGACAGAATTTTGATTCTTGAAATTATCTGTTGCCCAAAGACAGAATAGACTCTCAGGCTAGCCTTGCCCCGTATTGTTTGAGTTCACATCAAGCACTGACTTCATCAACAATAGGTACTTTTGTCAATATACATAAATCCCACTGCTTTGGAAAACGTCATAGCCAACTCACTCTTCTGATCACCTCCTTATTTTGGTATTTTGCTTAAAAGCTCTCCATTGATTTAGTATGTGCCAAAATTGGCTTCTCAAACCCTAAAAGATGAACAATAATTAGCTATGTGAGAGATGCATGGAACCAAAGGGGGCACTTGAGTCAGTACCATGATTCCCAAAGGTTCAGTCCAAAGGCTGAAATAAATAGTGGGAAAGTAGAAACAAAAACCTTGCAGAGGAAACTTACCAGAAAGAGGAATGAAGCCGACTTAGAGAAAAAACGTGAGAGAAGCTCATTCTTCATAACCTTAACCATGGCATAGCCATTGGAATGTAGTATATATACTTGAATAAATGGATTTAGGTTAAGGTCAGCCTATTGCTCCATTAGCATATTTGCTAAGCACCCTCCTTAGTACGTATCCTGGTGCTACACATGTGAACATACTGATTAATAAGTGCTAGGGATGAAGTTGTTTTATGATAGTTTACAGTTTTTTTAAGATTTTATTTATTTATTTGACAGAGAGAGAGAGCACAAGCAGGGGGAGCAGTAGAGGGAGAGGGAGAAGCAGGCTCCCGACGGAGCAGGGAGCTCGACACGGAACTCGATCCCGGGACCCTGGGATCATGACCTGAACTGAAGGCAAACACTTCACCCAGGCGCCCCAGTTTACAGACAGTTTTGAAACCACAGAGGATTTGAAGTGATAAACAGTAGGGAATCATGGCATGTTGTTGAATGGAAAAATGAAATTATGAAAGTTAGCTTTTGAGGGGTGGTATGAAGTAAATTGATGGATGGTTATAACCCTAGGCAGACAATTGGGAAGCTGTTTAATAAACCAGGTATAGGGGTGCCTGGGTGGCTCAGTTGTTAAGTGTCTGCCTTCGGCTCAGGTCGTGATCCCAGGTCCTGGGATCGAGCCCCACATCGGGCTCCCTGCTCAGCAGGAAGCCTGCTTCTCCCTCTCCCTCTCTCACTCGCCCTGTTCGTGTTCCCTCTCTCACTGTCAAATAAATAAATAAATAAAATCTTAAAAAAAAAAAAGTAAACCAGGTATAAGGCTATATGAAAGTGGACTCAAGAAGAACAAGCAATAGGGGTGCCTGGCTGGCTCAGTCGGTAGAGAATGTGACTCTCGATCTTGGGGTCGTGAGTTTGAGCCCCACATTGGGGGTAGAGTTTACTTAAAAATTTTTTTAAAAAAGGAGAAGAAGCAACAAAAGGTTGAAGGATGCAAGCAAAAGGGTCAGACATGGGGTAACACTACAAGGAAAGCTCCTGACTGAACCTCATGTAATGACACTTTTCTTTCAGGAGGCAGTGTGACATAATGGTTAATATCTTGGTCAAACAAGTCTGATTTCAAATACCAGCTCTGCCACTTAACAACCTGCATGGCATTGTGTATGTTACCTTCTTGAGTCCTATTCATTCATTCAACAACGATTTACCATAACTCGTTGTATGCCAGCTATTTGCTGGGTCTTGGGGACACCTGGTGACCAAAGTGGACACAGTTCCTACCCCCATCAAGTACCCAGGACAATAGCGTAGATGGGCATTAACTATAATGTAACATATATCCGTACAGATTGTAAGACCAGTAATGAAAATGTTTTGGATTATTCCCTTTGTCATTTCTGACATTTGATTGCTCTGTATTTAAGTTAAAGTTACCAATTTTGGATTTGAAAATTATTTCTCAGTCTGTGTTTTAATACTTGTCACTGTCTCTAATTCAGACCTAATACGGTACATAAATGGAACAAATATGAGTGTTGAACATTTGGCTGATGTTCTTTCTGAGAAAACCAGGAGCAGCAGCTGGGTGGTAGTGTTCAAAGCCCTGGTTACTGTACATCACCTTATGGTGCATGGAAATGAGGTGAGCACGCCGGGTATTCACGTGGTAATCAAAGCACTGTCAGTACATGATCGCAAGATATTCTTGGTTTGTCAAGGCTTATTATCCTTTACTTTGTGACAAGTGGGGGAAGTGAATAGCAATAGGTACTAAAAGGCTGATTTTTGCATTTTTACTTATGAGTATATCTTTGCAATCATTATTGGAGGTATACTGTTTTAGCCACTAGAAAATAAAGTGGGTAATAGAGTGGACATTTCTCTCAATTCTTTAGATTCTTTAGACCAAAGAGAGAAAACCCTCAAAGATGTATTGCTTTACTTTACCAGGAGAAACCAGGTGCCTGAATGGATTACATCATCACCTGTCCACCTCTCCCCACATACACTCTTTGTATTTTACAGAACTGAAATGTTCTTTAACATCAAATTACTTATTCTCCTTTAACATTTTGTCTCAGTAAGCTTTGCATTAACAAATTAGGATTTAGAAATTGAGTGGATTTTGAAACTTCCTATAAAGCAACTAATTATACAGTATGGTATTGATAAAAAGTAGAACTATGTACTTATATGGGAGCTTGGTGGCACAAAAAATGTGGGGGAAAGTATAGAATTTAAAATAAAGCCTTTTGGAGAATGAAATGTTGCCATTTGCAACGACATGGATGGACCTAGAGTGTATTATACTAAGTGAAATAAGTCAGAGAAAGACAAAGACCACATGATTTCACTCATATGTGGAATTTAAGAAACAAAGCAGATGAACATAGGGGAAGGGGGGAAAAAAGAGAGAGAGAGGAAAACAAGCCATAAGAGATTCTTAAAGGTAGAGAACAAACTGAGGGTTGATGGAAGGAGGTGAATGGGGGGGGGGATGGGCTGGATGGGTGATGGGTATTAGGGAGGGCTCTTGTTGTGATGAGCACTGGGTGTCATATATAAGTGATGGATCACTGAATTCTACTCCTGAAACCAATATCGCACTGTATGTTAACTAACTAGAATTTAAATACAATACAATAAAATAAAGCCTTTTGGTAGAAATAACATCCTTTGGAAAAAATAGAATGAGATCTTAATCTTACCCCAATATACAAAAATAAACTCCCCATGAACGAAACATCTATAAATGCAAGAACCTAAATTTTAAAATTGAAGAAAATGTAGGAGAATATGCTTATAACATTTGAGTAGGGAAGATACCATAAAGTTGGAATAAGATATTTCCAACATATGTATTACAGAAAAAAGATTAATATTCAAGATACATGACCAGTAAGAAAAAAGCAGTATAGTGGAATAATGCACAAGACAAATGAACAGAGAATTCACAGAAAAGGAAACCAGAATTGCTGATAACCATCTGAGAATGTGCTCAGATAAAATTTAAAATGCATGACAGTATCAAGAGTTGGGAAGGCCTTGAGGAAATGAGAATGCACATACCCTGTGGATGACATGTAAATATTAGTTGCTGGGTGATTTCCATCAGTACAGAACAGTTAACTAAAACGAAGTGCATATATAAGATGAAGTACTATATAATGTTACATGGGATGTATACCAATGAGGCTAGATCTCAGAAACAATGCTAATAGAGGAAGTAAGTTGCAGAATGACATTCAGATATAATATTATTTATGTGAATTTAAAAATACTTAATATTTGTCCACGAAACAAATATATCTGAAACTATAAAGAAAATAGACTATAAAGGTTAAAATTATGATAACAGTTACCTCCAGGGGAGGAAAAGGAAATGGAACTTGGGGATGGGCAAAGGGCACTTTAAACTTTATCTATAGAACTTTATTCTTCTTATTTTAAAAATATACTTGAAGCTGTTGTGTTAAAAAGTTAGCTGTTATCATTTCTGGGTAGTGTGGCACCCAGATGTATCAAATTATTTTAAATTTTTCTGCAAATTAAATTATTAAATAGTTTAATGTTCACTATTGAAATAGTTCTGTAATTAATTAAAACTTCTCAAAATAAAAAAGGGGGGAATGGCTAGATAGAAAGTCCTGGGGGCAAAGAGTGTATATTCCCATGAGCTTTAATGTTTAACCCCTTTTTTCTCTGGGAGATATATAGACAGAGGAGAGTTGACAATGCTGCATATTCTTATGTTGCGTAACCCAGGATATGATCATGCTCACCTTAATCAATGCTCCTGAAATAGCTAGAAGCTATATGATAGAATTATGTTAAATATGTATTCATAATGATAAACTCATTAAAGAGCTCCATTTGTGGACAGAAGCTAATTTTATAATTTGGCACATTTGACAGCGTTTTATCCAACATCTGGCATCTAGACACTCTTTGTTCACTCTACACAACTTCCTGGATAAAAGTGTCATAGAAGGTAAGATGATTCTTTGATAGAAATAGTCCATGTGGCAAGGAGGGAAAAGCTCTGTTTTGAAAACCATGCCTGGTTAAAACATGGGAGGTTTGGGAAGGGATGGTGACAGTGGGATGGGGAGTTTCAGGAAAATGTTAAGAATTTACAATAGTTTCTGTGGAAATGTGAAAGAAACTGATAAAGTTCAATTATTTCCTCTATTCAGAATTGTCACCATCAACACTACATCATGAGGTGATTTCAAGGCTTTGAGGAAATAAATAATCTTTAGCAGAAAGTGTGAGGAATACTGGACTAGATAATTAGTAAAGTCCATTCTAGCTTTTGTGCTTCAAAGATTTGTTGAGGTATATGGGTGGATGTGAAATGATAAGTCTTTGCATTTATTGACATATTGTAAATGGTTAATACTGGTTAAATTGTAAGAGACTCTTAATCTCAGGAAACAAACTGAGGGTTGCTGGAGCGGTGGAGGGTGGGAGGGATGGGGTGCCTGGGTGATGGACATTGGGGAGGGTATGTGCTATGGTGAGCGCTGTGAATTGTGTAAGACTGTTGAATCACAGATCTGTGCCTCTGAAACAAATAAGACATTATATGTTAATTAAAAATAATTAAAAAAATAAAATAAATTGGAAATAATGAAGTATTTCATTTTTAGGCTATACTATGTCAACCTTCATCAGACGATATAGCAAGTTCTTGAATGAGAAGTCACTTGCATATAGACTGATCACATCTGACATCACCAAAACCAAGAGAGGGTCAGTAAATATCATTAGTTTGTAAGCAAGAAATACTGAAATACATAAGTCCTCCGATATGTAGTTGACCAAAAACACAGCTTTATTTTAAGATCCTGATGTCACAGTGCTGCTTAAACTCTTAATTACTGATATCATGAATCTCTTTTCTCTTTTATAGGATGGATGGTATGATGAGAACTATGGATACAAAACAGCTGCTAAACACTCTTCCAGTTATTCAAACTCAGTTTGATGCTCTTCTTAATTTTAATGTAAGAGCTTTATGAATCCTGTTAAACATACTGGTAAATGACGTTGTTTAGCAGTAAGTGGAGAAGGAATTGTTTTAAACTGTGGTGGTAATTGATTACTCTTTTATTTAATTTCCAGGCAAATCCTGATGAACTAACGAATGGTATAGTACATGCTGCTTTCATGCTCCTCTTTAAGGATTCTCTTCGCCTCTTTGCAGCCTATAATGAGGGGATCCTTAATTTGCTAGGTAGGCTAAAGAATAAACATTGCCTAAAAAATAAACTGGTAAGAACCTTTTATCTCTATGTTTAGACTAACGTAGACTACACTTATTTTAAATTCCAAATAGAAGATCCTTTTAAGGTCATATGTATTTTGTTTTATTTTGTTTTAAGATTTTTTATTTATTTATTGAGAGAGAGAGAGAATGGTAGAGAGAGAGCATGAGAGGGAGGAAGATCAGAGGGAGAAGCAGACTCCCTGCAGAGCAGGGAGCCCGATGCGGGACTCGATCCTGGGACTTCAGGGTCGTGACCTGAGCCGAAGGCAGTCGCTTAACCAACTGAGCCACCCAGGCGCCCGGTCATATGTATTTTAAAATAATGAGACATCATATTGCTTTTTTGGATAGAAATTCCTTGACTAATTAGCCACAGAACTGTATAGTTTTTGTATAAGTGCTAATTGATATTTCTGGGAAATTTCTGTCCTAATTTAGCCTTCATGAATGATTCATTTCATAGGAAGTGTTCTCCAAGCTTCAGTGATTTTTCTTACACTGAAGGAGTATCTAGTACATTTGTAGAGTTATAAAAGAGTAGGAAACACAGCTCGTTCCCTCAAAAAGCTTCAGAGCTTGATGTTAGTAAATAAGATTACAGACTGGAAGTTGTAGAAATTAAACTAAACTATCTGTGTATGCTATTAAATTCTAGACATCTTCCCAGCATCAGTGTTTGGCATATGGTACTTCATAAAAATCTGTTGATTATACGGATTGAATAGTGTTGTTGCTTGCTAAGACAGAATATAACTGGATTAAAGCTATAATTGTTCTGAACAAGTTAAAATCATATACAGATTCAGCTTAAAATAGAATTATCAGAGTGGAGTGAAACTGGAAAATTGCTGAGATACTGGCTCCTTCATGGTAATTTTTTTTATTTTTAGACAAATATTTTGATATGAGGAAAAACCAATGCAAGGAAAGTTTGGATATTTACATCAAGTTCCTCGAAAGAACAACCAAACTGGTACAGTTCCTGAAAGTTGCGGAGGTATGGAAATCTATTTCTACACAAGGCTTTTCTGCTATTTTCTGTATTAGTTTAATAGCTGGTATAACCATACCACCCCCCCCACCACTGCACAAACACACAGAAATTGTTAGTATTTTTAACTGCTTTGTAAACAGTGAAACTATACACTAAAATTAAGTAGTTCAAGGATTTTTGTTTGTAGCCATGAAGATAACTGTTGCCAAGCTTATCCTCCTGCCAGAAACAACTCTACAACTGGGCCAAGCTCATATGACATATGTCTTTTCGGGCAGTGGACAATAGGTCTGTGATCAGTTGAAGAAGGAAACACATGAGTTGACCCGCACATTTCCCCTGACACTCAGAAGAACCCAAGCAGAATAAATATGCCTAGGCAAGCAGTAGCTGAACTTCTGAAAACCAAAGCAAACCAAACACAATACAATAAAAACAAAACACAACGTATTACTCACAGGAGAACAACAATATGAATAACAGCTGACTTCTGAGTACTTGACAAATTAGAACACATTTGTATAATATCCAAAATGTAGCTTAGCTCTTTCCAGAACAGCAAAGATTCAATATCTGGCAAGTCTTTTTTTTCTCATAGGTTTATCCTTAGGATGACTATAAGTTTGTGTTTAAGTGTACGAGGCCTACCTTAGCTTGACATGTTTTTCTTGATCAACTAGGTACTAGCCCAGCAAGGCATTCATGCTTGAGGGGTATTTTCTCTTTTGTGTGCACATTGGTCTCACAGTTACTTTTCTTTGTTGCCACTCCCTGTTGTAATGTGTACTTTCCGCCCCTCGTTTGTGAATTCAGCAAGTTGGAATTGACCAGAACGACATTCCATATCTTACACAGGTCAGTGTATCTTTCCTATGTGTTTAAATGACTTTTTTGTTGTTACGTATGTGTATTTATTATATTCATAATATATCACCTGAGACTCCATCCTTTGCCATAAACGTACATATGTATTTTCATTTCCTCATGACTAACATACACACATACATACATATGTAGATACATAGACGTGTTTTCTGCACAGGTCTTTGAGCTGGTGCTTTTATAAAAGAGGCCAGTCCCTGCTGAGTGCTAAAAGGTGACTCGTAGTAGAACAACTAGACTATGCTTTTTTAAATGGGCAGAACTGATCAGTGGAAACAGCAGAATATTTGGGCTCTCAAGCAACTCATTTCCGTTCTCCACGGCTCATTTATGCAGCTGCAAAATGGGTGTAATACTATTGTCTTTCTCATAGCAGTGTTGTGCAAATCAAATGAACTCAGGCTTTTTCCTTCCCTAGAAGCCGCTCATCAGGAATCTCTCACATGGCAGTGGGTGGGATATGAGGTAGAGGGGTGGCTGAAACGAAGGTCTGGCCACCTGCTTAGGCAGCCTGATGTGCCTTTTGGACTTGCTTGTGCTCTGTCCCACACATGCCATTGGGCTTGAGCAGCCCTTTCCTGCTCTGGGCCCCACACTAATGTGGCATCTGGGATATGGGCCAAAGCATTATTTTCCCTGGGGTGGGAACATGCTGTCTCCAGAACTCAAAGAGGCCTAACAGGTGTTGTGTTTCCTTTTTGATGGTGAGAGGTGCAAGATGCACTACATTATCTTCTATTTTGGATAGAATTTCCTGGTAAATCCCTGGCCACTGGAACCTTAAAAATGTTACCAAAATAGAAGGCCCCTGAATCTTTGTAGGGTTTAGCTCCTACCTTCTGGAACACATGTTGCTTTCCGGGTCTCTATTATACTGGCCACTTCCTGCTCATGCGATCCAGTTAGCATGACATCATGGATATGAGTGGATCAGTGTGATTTTCTGAGGGATAACCAGATGATCTAGACTTCTTCTGATCATAGTATGACAGAATGTTGAAAGAGTTAACACACCCTGGGTCAAAACTGTAAGTGTATACGGTTGTCCATTTCATGCCTACAAGCTCTTTGTGATTTACACTTTTGATAGCAGTGGAAAGCGGAACATTCACACATACCATGCATCTGAGACTACATTAATCTACCTGTGCCAGAGAAACTGTTGTACCTGGCACGTGGCTACAGTTGAATTACTACTTGATTGATTATGCTATAGTTTGTCATTCTCCAGGGCCTGACTGGTTTTGGGGCCCTAATGGTGAATCACATGGAGATATGATGGGGACCATTGCCCCTGCATCCTTTTTATCTTTAAGATTGGCACCAATTTCTGCATCCTCCTGGAAGGTGATTGTGTTTTTATTTACTATTTTGCCTGGAGGGTAGGTGGAGACTGTTTAAGATACAGAGATCTCCACCCCACAAGTTACACGCCCCATCAGGATTTTCCCCCACCCACTCCTGGCCTCTAGGTCTCTAACTACAGTTAAGTTGCAGCATAGCCCAGAGACTTCAGGACTTTCATGGCCATCCCCCAGCTCTCCCCATCCCGTAAGTTAGGGCTTAAAAGCCCAACCCTGACCTTGGTGTGGCAGGCCTGCCTTGATTGGGACTGGAGGAAGGTGAAGTACTCAGACAGTACCTGGCACAGGTGGTAGTCATATGAAGTCAGAGAGGGTGAAGATGTAGGGGGAGACAGGGGTGGTAGCTTGAGGTCCCCTCAGGAATCATAAGACATTGGATCCAGAGCACTGTGGATGTAGCAGTGGCCTCCAGTAAGAGGATGGAGGAGGCAGGGATAAATGTTCGGTTTGGTGGCAGAGAAGGAGGGACTTTCTGTCTGATGTCTTCTCATACATCTTGAAAGAAATGTGTTTTCTAACATATACACAGCACAAGCATTCCTTCATGTACAGATAAGTACAAAGGGGACTTGTGCACAGACATTGAGCCCCACTGTTGGATGCAGTAATTCACAGCTTCCCGAATGAAAAATCAGATAACCAGAACACAGAAAAAGTGAGAATGTCTGGGTGGCTAGGGGAGAAGATGGGATTTCATTGCCCAAAGGCACCTGAACTGGTGGGTATCAATCAACAGTCATTCACAAACACATGCTTGACCCCTTCAGGACGAAGGAGCTATAATGAATGAAACACAGTCCCCGCTCCTGAGTTCCTGAAAAAGACTACAGAAGCATGCCTAGTTAACTCCTAAAATGTAGCCCTCTCTCTGAATTTTCTCCACATTAACCTCAGTTTCTTCAGGTAGGTGGTAGAGGTGGGAAGGGTTCCTTTGCTGAGAACTGCAGTTTGGCCATCATGAGGGCACAGGCAAGCATTAACTGAGCTGGACTTGGCATCTTGGCCTTGGCCTCCTTCACAGCTCAGTGCCTGTGGTCAGAGCTTCAAGGGGAATATCAGACAGAAGGAGTCCCAGGATGGGGGACCACATTTCCCATTGGGCCACCCTCTCTCCTGCTTACCTCAATTCTGGTTCCCAGGATCCCTGAATCAAAAACAAAGTAGATGGCTGTGGGAGAGGCTGTGGAAGACAGGCAAAGCTCTTTGTTGCTGAACTTTCTTGTAGAGTTTCATTCCTTCCTCCGTCAATAAACTCCTTTTACTGGGAACGCTTCCTTATCAGTACGGCAGCCCCTGGCCCTCAGTCAGTACAGAAAGTCATTTGTCATGGCATAAGGTTGGCAGAGCTGCTCCCATCACGTGCTTTCTCGGGGGCCCTGGGAACCCTGGAATGGAGTGAAATGCTGTAGGTTGGCCAGCTTTTCCTTGGTGCTTCCATCAGTCTTTACTATATGAATGGATGCTAAACTGTTAGGTGCAGGCTCACCATTTTAAGGCTCGCCCAAACCCTTGTGTTTTCTTAAAAGGAAATCTCCCCCATTTCTACCTTCAGCTAACCCTTTCTACCTTGATTTCGACATGGTCTGGGGCTCACAGAGCCTCCTCCTGTGAGTGAGCTGTCTCGTGTGTCTGTGTCTGTCCCTCACTGTTCCACCATTCTGTGCTGTTTGTGCTCTGTGGGACTCCCAGAAACTCTGGTGGCAAGCTGTGCTCTGTCTGCCATCTGATGCTTCTTTATTGTACACCAGCATAGTTCAAACATACGTCTCTGGGCCGCATCCCTCATTAGAGCTCCAGGGACCCAAACTCAAAAGACCTACCAGATGGTTCCACCCTAATGTATACCTGGATGAATTCTCCTCACTTCACCACAGTGTTTCTGTGGTTTTGGTGGGTGGAGGGTAACTGTGTGCCTCACAAAAGAGGTCCTACAGATTCATATCTATGCTTTCATTGTAAAGCGCCTTGGTGCATTTTAAGTTTTCAGTAGTCCTAAGCAGTGTTCTGCTAACCTTGGGCAGCAGCATGGCCACAGATTTATAGCTGTCAGTGAATTGTCTGAAAACAACACGGATGAAAAGGATTCTTTCCGGCAAACATTGTTCAAATTTACTGATAACTGTTGTTATTTTGTTATTTTAGTTACTCTTTGGTAGTTATTTTGTTATATATTTATTGAATGACTGAATGAATGAACCAGAAATACTCTATCCCTTTGGCAACCGTGTGTCTGCCCTAATGAAACTGGCAGTCCCCCTGATCATTTTTGGGTGTCCCATTGCCCCTTCTTGCCCATCTTGTATGCTTGAACATTTGAGGTTCACCCTAGGCTGCAGATGTCCTGGTCTTTCCACCGCTGAGGTGCCTGTGGGCTTCGTAAAGGGACAGATTCTCTAATTCTTCTGTACTCAGCGTGCCCACATTGTTAAGAGGCATTCCTGGACAGGTCTTCTCCTGGTCCCCACATTTGGCCCAACAGGAGAATCCCTCTGAGCAGGTATCTGCTTGGCTGTGTCATTCTGTCAGCCCCTCTACAACTGAGTGCTATATAGGCCCCTCTGTTTTCAGGCCCATGTGTTTGTTGCCCTTCCTTGTGAAGGAGTCAAAAATAATGATTTCAAGTCCAAAAGAGATAGATGTTTTAGCAGTCCTTTGGCCATTTGAAAAAAAATGTACATGAAAGCATAGTTTGAAAATCTGATTTGATATCAAGATGCTGCTTTTCATAATGAATTTGTAGCAATTGCACTTGACCCTTGAACAACATGGGTTTGAACTATGCAGGTCCACTTATATGTGGAGTTTTTTCTATAAATATATTGGAAAATTTTTTGGAGATTTGCGACAATTTGAAAAAACTCACAGATGAACTATGTAGCCTACAAATACTGAAAAAATGAAGAAAAAGTTAGGTATTGTTGTAAAATTATAGCACATAATACATATAACATATAAAATCTGTGTTAATAGACCATTTATGTTATTGGTAAAGCTTCCCAGTCAATAGTAAGCTATCAGTGGCTAAGTTTTGGGGGAGTCAACTGCACAAGGGTGTGTGCCCCTAACTCCCACATTGTTTGAAGGTCAGCTGTATTTACCTTTAATGCCTTTGCTATATAGGTGTCTTAATTTTTGTTCAGAACCTTTTTATGATGTAAGAGAGTATGAATTTGCTTACAACTATCAGAAAATATGTCTTAGTAAGTCAGAGGGGGAGACGAACCATGAGAGATGATGGACTCTGAAAAACAAACTGAGGGTACTAGAGGGGAGGGGGGGAGGGGGATGGGTTATTCTGGTGATGGGTATTGAGGAGGGCACGTTCTGCATGGAGCACTGGGTGTTATGAACAAACAATGAATCATGGAACACTGCACCAAAAACTAATGATGTAATATATGGTGATTAACATAACAATAAAAAATTTAAAAAAAAAAGAAAATATGTCTTTCACAATAACTTTATCTTCAGGCACCCCACAGTTTACTTGAAGCACTAAAACAGCATTTAGCTTCTTTGGAAGAGAAAAATAACAGTTTGCTTCCTTACAGGTAAGATAATAAATGTCTTAATTTAGATTACTTTTGTTTCTCTCTAAATAATTTCCCTCTTTTTAACAATATGAAAGTGACTAAGTAAATAATAGGCTTTGAACATGCTGGAACACATTTTAAATGATAATATGGAAGAGAGGTTTTCAATCTTTTCTGGGATCCCATACTCTCCACAGGGGTGATATGCTTCCCAAGGAAACATCTTTTATTATGTTGAATGATTCTCAAAGTCAGAAGTTGGGGCTGGAATAAACCCTCTTTTGAAGAATTTGATTTCTTCTCTTAGAGGCTCCTTTAGTGAGAATAACTGTTGTAGACGATTATTTAATATTTACCCACAAAACAGTGTGCATAGTAACACTCAAGATCTGTGTGTATACACATGTATATGCACATACATACACTCTTCTATATAAGAATATATATATATATATATATATATACCCCTCACCACTCCAGCAACCCTCAGTTTGTTTCCCGAGATTAAGAATTCCTCATATCAGTGAGATCATATGATACATGTCTTTCTCTGATTGACTTATTTCGCTTAGCATAATACCCTCTAGGGAGGGATGGGGTGGCTGGGTGATGGACATTGGGGAGGGTATGTGCTGTGGTCAGTGCTGTGAATTGTGTAAGACTGTTGAATCCCAGACCTGTACCTCTGAAACAAATAATACATTATATGTTAAAAAAAAAAAGAAGATAGTAGGAAGGGAAAAATGAAGGGGAGGAAATCGGAGGGGGAGACAAGCTGTGAGAGACGATGGACTCTGAGAAACAAACTGAGGGTTCTAGAAGGGAGGGGGGCGGGACGATGGGTTAGCCCGGTGATGGGTATTAAAGAGGGCACGTACTGCATGGAGCACTGGGTGTTATACACAAACAATGAATCATGGAACACTACATCAAAAACTAATGATGTAATGTATGGTGATTAACATAACATAATAAAATAAAATTAAAAAAGAATATATATATATACAAATTAAATAATACAAATTTTGAGGTATATCACTTCAAAATGTTCATGTTAGTTATTTCTGAGTGGAAAAATTATGGTTGATTTCATTTTTCTTTTCTTTTTTTTTTTTTACTTTTCAGTATTGTTCAAAATTTCTGTAAGGCTCATGTATTATTCATTCATTCCACTGTTTAGGTTATATTGATTACAATTGACTTATATTCATGTTCTATTAGACAACAAGTCTGTTGACTGTTTCTTTTCTTTATCATAGATAGTTGTATAGTTAGTATATAGTTGGATGGATGGGTTAATGGATGGATAAATGGTTGAATTAAGGAAATGTAGGCTCAGCTGGGTAGGATATATGTGATTCTATTTATTCTCCAGTGTATCTCATTTTTCTTGTAATCTTTTAAGTCTCCAGCATGCATTGATTCCCTCTATCCCAAATAATCCAGTTGTGAAAGCTTCAGCAAGCAGCGCTTGGTTTGCAGGTAACATAACTCGATTATATGATTGTATCAGTAATCATTGAAAGCAGAATTAGAGCCTTTAATTCTTCCACTGCTTAACCACCTACTGTGTCTGCTGCCTCTTCCTGAAGTAGTCTTTGACCTAGTGATTTCATTTGTAGGAATTTATCTAATGTATATATTCAGGGTTGTGAAATGATATATGAACAGGGATATCTGTTAACAATGTTGTGATAGCAAAATGACTATCAATAAGGGGCTTGTTTTTATGTACTGAAATGGAATGATCTCCAAGATATATTGTTAAATGGAAAATAAGCAAGGTGTGAAACAAAGTATAGTATGCTCCCATCTTCGTTTTTAAAAACAGAAAAAAGAATATATACGTTTGTATAATTTCTTAAAGAGTACTTCTGGAAAGATATACAAAAAATGAATAAAATGTACTGCCTCCACGAAGAACGTGGTGGTTCATGTAAAGGGATGGGTAGGAGAGTCCTCACTCTACCATTTTGTAACTTTTGAATTTTGTACTTGCAAATAATTACTGATTAAAAGATAAATTTAATGAAGAAACACACAAATACAGTGTGGTACTTTGTTATGCTTAACATGGAAGTCTTTTATAACCTCTTAAGTTTAGTTTGCCTCATACTTCAGTAGTGTGCTGAATTTTCAGGAATTTTGCAAGCTGGTTGATGTCACACTGGTAACTTGAAATTGGCCATGATGAAAGTATTTACACCACAGAAATGGACAAACACTATAAGACAGGCCTTTTGTTTTTCTTGGAGAGCTGGTTGTTATATGTTTCCTGGCACATGACAGCTCATTATCAGTCATATTCTGTTTTTTAATGGATGATTGTGTTTCAGTGATGTCACTTGATCCTCTAGACACAAATTCATGTAATAATGTTATATTACCATAGTTTATATTGTTTGAATTAAAGTTTGTTCTTAATTTAACTTGAAGACTTAAACTGTATCTATTTTAAATGTTTTTACTTTTCTTTTGTATATATACTCTCAATGGACGCAACTTCTGCATTTTCAATGGGTGAGTTTGACCAAAATTTTGAGGAACATAAGTCCTTTGAGTAAAATCCTACTATAGCAAAAGTGGCACGTTTGATTTGTTTCCAAAAGAATGACTGCTTTTCTGAGTTCCCGTGGTTTGGGAATCATTAGTGCTTACAACAGATATTACAAGAAGGGTAAATACAGTTTTTGACAAGTTGTGGCTTCAGTCTGTTGTAAATGTGAGTTCCAAACCAAGTATAGGGGGAATGGGGAGCTACTGCTATTCTTTTATAAAGGCCTGTGGTTTGCCTTTACCCTCATTGCTTGAACCAATTCTGTTGACAATCCTATGATCGGCTGCAAGCACTTTTTTCCTTAAATCACTGATTTAAAAGTACCTGCCATGAAACCGGAGTGCTTGGGTTCAAATTCCATTCTACCATTCATGGATGGTGTGCCTCAGCTTCCTGATCCTCATAAGGTTGCTGTCAGGATAAATGAATCAGTACTTCTAGAGTGCTTAGCACAGGGTTTGACCCATGTGTTACTTAGAAGTGCATTTTAAAATTTCATGTATATGGGAAATGGGGATCTTTTTATCTTATTTTTTATTGTAATTCCAGTATAGTGAACATGCAGTGTTATATTAGTTCCAAGTGTACAATATAGTGATTCAGCACTTTCATACAACACCTGGGGCTCATCAGGACAAGTGCCCTCCTTCATCCCCATCACCTAGCTCACCCATCCTCCACCCACCTACCCTCTGCTGACCATCAGTGTGTTCTCCATAGTTAAGAGTCTGTTTTGTCTCTCTCTTCCCCCTCCAATGATCGTTTGTTTTGTTTCTTGAATTCCACATATGAGTGAAATCATATGGTATTTGTCTTTCTCTGACTGACTTATTTTGCTTAGCGTAATACTCTCTAGCTCCATCCACGTCATTGCAAATGGCAAGATGTCATTCTTTTTGATGGCTGAGTAATATTTCATTGTGTATATGTACCACATCTTGTTCATCCATTCATCTATCAGTGGACACTGGGACCATTTCCATAATTTGGCTATAGTCAATAATGCTGCTATAATGTAGGGATGCACATATCTGTTTACATTAGTGTTTTTGTATTTTGTGGGTAAATACCCAGTAGTGAGATTACTGGATCATAAGCTAGTCCTATTTTTAACTTTTTGAGGACCCTCCATACTGTTTTCCACAGTGGCTGCACCAGTTTGCATTCCCACCAACACTGCAAGGGGGTTCCTTTTTCTCCACATCTTTGCCAACACCTGTTGTTTCCTGTGTTGTTGATTTTAGCCATTCTGACAGATGTGAGGTGGTATCTCATTGTAGTTTTGATTTGTATTTTCCTGATGCTGAGTGATGTTGAGCAGCTTTTCATGTGTCTGTTGGATATATGGGGATCTTCTAATGATCTTTTTTGCTGCCGAATTCTAGCTTACTTGCACTATGTCAAAGAACCTTCTTTATAATTTCAGTCCTTTGGAATTTGTTGATACTTGCTTCATGGCCCAGCATACAATCATTTTTTTGGTGGAAGTTTTATGTGCACTGGAAAACACTGTATCCTTTAATTGCTGGATACAGTGTTCTGTGTATGTCCATTAGGTTGAGGTTGTTAATTGTGTTGTTCAAATCCTCTGTATTTTCATTATTTTGCCTGCTTGTTCATAGAGTTACTAAGAAAGGTCTGTTAAAATTTCCCTTGTTTCCTCATAAGCTACGTTAAGCACTATTTTTATCCCCCACGCCACTATATGACTCTTGTCAAAGTCACCAGTCACCTCCATGTTGCAGGATCTGATGGTGATTACTTGATCTTCATCTTACTAGGCCCCCTAGTTCATCACTCCCACTTCCTTCATACACTTTCTTCAGTTTGCCTATTGGTTTTCTTATGTAACTCTTGGCTCTTTTTTAGACTTTTTTTTTATTTTTTATTTTTTTTTTACTGATTTTTCCCTCATTTCTCTTCTTTATGTATACTTTTTCATTGCCTAGATGACCTCATCCAGACTCAGGGCCTTAAGTACCGTTTACATGATAAGGACTCCCAAATTAGTATCTCTAGTTACAGACATTTCTCTTGGACTCCAGAATCATATATCCAAGTGTCTATCCAGTGGTTTCACTTGAATTATCTAATAGGGTTCTACAACTCAATATGTCTAAAACTAAGCTTCTGATATTCCACCCCAAACCTGTTGATTTTACCTTCAAAACATATCTAAACATTGACCACTTCTCACTATCTTCAGTGCTACCACCCTAGTTCAAGTTACCGTCACTTCTTAGCTTCTTCCCTTGCTCTCTACAGTCCATTCTTTACATAGCAGAGTGATCTGATTAAAATACAAGTCAGATGGATCATGTCTCTCCTCTGTTCAAATCCCTCCAGTGGCTTCACCATCTCAGGGAAGGTGGCCTAAGATGGTGGCCTCAGAGTAAAATGCAAAGTCCTTACAATTCTTTACAAGGCCCTGAATTGCCTTCCTGACTCCTTTGATTACTCTGACTCCAGACACATTGGCCTCCTCACTATTCTTCAAATATCCTCCTTCCTGAGGGCCTTTGCTCATGTTGTTCCTTCTGCTGGGTCCACATGGTTCACTTTTCACATACTTTAGGTCTTTACTTAAAAGTCCTCTTCTCAGTGAGCCTTTCCTATGTAAATTTACATACCCCCTCCCCCACCAACATATCATACTTCTTTCTCTGTTGTTTTTCCCTCGGCACTTACCACAATCTAACATATACTTCATTTGTATTGGTTATTTTCTGTCTCCAGTGGAATGTAAGCTACAAGAAGGCAGGGATTTTTATCTTTTTTTTCTTCACTGGTGTATCTTTAGCACCTAGTGTGGTGTCTAACAAATCCTCAATTAAAATGTATTTAATGAATAATTTAACATGACTTTATTTAAACTCATTAACCTGAGAACTTGATGTGCTGTTAGTTTGTAACGGGAGGTACATGCATATCATTATTGATATAAATTTGGCTTAGTTTTTCATCTAATTCTGTCTCTTATTTTCAGATTATCTTCCCTATATGACATATTATAACCAACGTTACCTTCACAAGCCCACAAACCTGTTGGAGCCAGACAGCAATGTGGAAAAATCATAGCAAACAATCTGGATGGCTCACTTGCTAGCCTTGTAGGAAGTAAGCATCTATTTTTAAATCAATATTTCAGATATATATATATATACTTAAATGTATTTTAAGAAAAAGTATACAAAAATAATGTAAACTTTGTTTGTTTTATGAAGCAGATCTTAACCTTGGAGAAAGCCCAGTCAACAGGTAAGTTTTTATTATTTAAAAAGGACAGCTGATAATACATACATGTTAGAGGAGGAGACTCATGAGATTAACAACTAGAAAATAATTATTTTAGAATTCGATATAGGAACCATTTGTTACAAAACTCTATAATAATATCCTTCAAAAATTAAAGTAGAAAAGTTACTCTTTATATACTATCCCAGTTTTTGTAGGTGAAGTTCTTGGTTCTCATCCCTTCATGGTTCATCTGAAGGATCTTCTTTTTCTAAGCGTGTCTTAAATATTGGCATTTCTCAAAGTTTTTGTACTTTTGGTTCTTTTCTTACTTTATTATATAGACTGTACTAAATGAATAATACTTATTTTTTATTTTATTAAACAAAGACAATAAAACCACCAGTTGGAGCTCCTCAGCATCTTAAGATAATCAATGTTACTTCCGTGTGTGAATCCCTACATTTTCAGGCAGAAAAAACTCCAAAAAGCAGGCAAATGGAAACCAAAGGAAGGCAGAAGTGATAATATTAACAACAAACAACACTGTGGAATGTAAGTTTAAAATCACTAAACAGAATAAGGAAGGATATCATACAATGATAAAAGACACTTATTATGGAGGCACTGTTTTGTGTGTACACAAATTTAAATATATAAGGTAAAAATTATTAGAAATACATGAAGAACTTGAGAAAAATACATAATAAATAATAATCCTGAGTGTGTGCACACACACATACACACACAATGTTTATTTTCTTCAGAGCAACCAAAAAAGAAAAACATGACAAAAAAAACTAAAGAATTTTACAGGCTACATTCTGTCATAATCTAATGAAATCAGAACTTGTTAATAAAAAATTGAGCATGAAAATCTTAACTATAAGTTTAAAAATATGATCCTTTGCCAAAGAGGAAATACATAGTTTGATAACTATCAAAAGCTAAACTCAGAGGAAAATTTCTTCACTGTAAAAAAGAGAAATTAATAAGAATTAGTTTTTATCTTAAGAAATCTATGTAAAATTATAAAAAAACAAATTAGATAAAATCTATAAAGATAAAAGCTCTGATTAAGAAAATTGCAAACAAAAAAATAAATGCAAAACTTATTTCTTTGTAAAGTCCAATAAAAGAGGATCCTCTGACTAAGCAGAAAAGAGTGTAAAAGTATAACAACATGAAGATTAAGAGGGCTGACACAACCACAGGTGTAGGCGAGACTAAAATAAAAGCAAATACTTTATGCAAGAGTTTGGCAACAACATATTTGAAAATTGGGAGTAAATTGATGATTTCCAAGCAAAATATAAACAAAATTCATCCAAGAGACATGTATGGACCAAATACCACATCAGGTGTTTTTTTTTTTTTTTAGTGTGATGTTATTTATTTACTTATTTACTTATTTATTTTTTAAAGATTTTATTTATTATTTATTTTTTTAAATTTTATTTTATTATGTTATGTTAGTCACCATAGAATACATCATTAGTTTTTGATGCAGTGATCCACGATTCATTGTTCGCGCATAACACCCAGTGCTCCATGCAGTACGTGCCCTCCTGAATACCCATCACCGGGCTGACCCCTCCCCCCTCCCCCCTCTTCTCTAAAACCCTCAGTCTGTTTCTCAGAGTCCACAGTCTCTCCTGGTTCGTCTCCCCCTCCGATTCCCGCCCCCCTTCATTTCTCCCTTCCTTCTCCTGATGTCCTCTGTGCTCTTCCTCATGTTCCACAAATAAGTGAAACCATGTGATAATTGTCTTTCTCTGCTTGACTTACTTCACTGAGCATCATCTCCTCCAGTCCCATCCACACATAAGTTTTTAAAAAGGAATTATAGAAACACCTCATCTGAGATGGTAGTGCTGGAGGTGGTATAATGAAAAGCAGATGCATCTGAGACATGTTTTGAAGGTAGAGTTGATAGCACCTGCTATTAGAGGTGAGGGAAAGAGGATTAGGGATGGTGCTTAAATTTTTGGTTTGAGCTACTACATGGATGGTAATGTCACATATCGTGATGGGAAAGATTGAAGGAAAAACAGTTTGAGTTGGTAAGTTGAATTAAGCATTCTCTTTTGACATGTTATATTTCAGATATGTATGAGACATCTAAGAGGTAGGTAAGCATAGGAGTCTGGATTTTAGAGCTGGAGCTAAAAGCCTTAAGGGCTTGATCACTTCATCTTGGTAGAGAATAAAGAGGATAATGGTAGGTCCAGAACTGAACTTTGAAACATCCTAATATTGTAGGGATTGAACAGAAAAGGTTAAAGTGTCAAGAATTGAGGAAAACAAAGCACAAACAATGAATCAGGAGTAAGTGTAACTCTGGATCTTTAATAACACTGGAAGCTAGAATACAGTACTTCAATCTGTTAAAAATTCTTAGTGGAATTTATTTTCAGTCTAGAATTTTGTACTCGGACAAGCTCTCAACCAAATGCAAGAGTTAAATAGACATTTTCAAAATTCAAAAAAATCTAAAAAAATTACCTACCGTGCACCTTTGCTCAGGAAGCTCCTACAGGGTATGCTCTAAGAAAAGAGAGAAGTAAAACTAAGAGAGAGAAGCACATGGGGTTCAGGGAAAAAGAGAGTGAGAGGTGGGGAGCATTCCTGATACAGCAACGATGGAAATTCCAGGGTGACATTTGTACAATTGGCCTAGAGAGATTGGAACAGAAGGATATAGAACTCCAAGAGAGATGTCTCCAGGAAAAGAATCCTTCAACTTGAGATAGTTATTATTTCCACTAGACCATAAGCTCCATGAAGGTAGGTATTTTCATCCATTTTATATATTTTAAGCACCAAGAATAGTGCCTGGCACCTAGTAGATGTTTAATGGATATTTGTTGAATGAATGCAATGAATCCCCATTTCCCATGTGAGAAAACTGAGGCATATGGAGATTCTGTAACTTGTTATTAACAATTATTAACAGTTATTAAGTGCCTGACGTGGGATTTGAACCTAGGCAATCTTGCTCTAGAGTCAGGGCCATTAACCTCCTTAGTGGTCTTATATATACATAAACTAGATGTGGGGGGCCCTGGGGGGCTCGGTGGTTAAGCGTCAGCCTTAGACTTGGGTCATGATCTCCAGGTCCTGGGATCGAGCCCCACGTTGGGCTCCCAGCTCAGCGGGGAGCCTGCTTCTCCCTCTCCCTCTGCTCTCCCCCTGCCTGTGTGCTCTCTGTCTCTGTTTCTGCATCTCTCTCAAATGAATAAATAAAATCTTTCTTTTAAAAAATAAAGATGTAGATGTGGAAAGGTAGGAGGGGAAGTAGGATATGGTGTAAGTGATAGATCTTCCACAGAAAATCAATAATGTCTAAAACTTATAAGTTAAGATACAGTAGTATAGGCATATTTTTATTAGGATCATGGAATTAAATACCATAAAGAAAAGAGTGGCTACCTTTTGGAAGGGGAAGTGGTGACTGATGCTTCTGGTTTTGGATCTGTTAGCATTAAGACTTTTTAAACTCTGTATCATGTAGATAAAACTTAAATTTATCTAAGTCAAATGACAAATATGGAATAAATAGGAGCTTTTAGAGACAAGAACCATAAGAGTTTGTTTCCTTTTCATTCTATTTATTCTCATATGATATATTTTCTATCTAGTATTATTTATTCTCCTAAATAACTTTAATTCTATGAAGTGGATAGGTAAGGCATTGTTTATCCCCATTTTACAAATAAAGGAAGAAGTTACTTAATCAAGGTTACACAGCTAGTGAATAGCCTCGTGGGGCTCAGAATGTAATACTTCTGCCTCTTACCCTAGTGCCCCTTGACCTACTACCATGAGGGTATACTAGTTTTTTTCTCCAGATACACTATTAAGATAGTTTAGAATAAAAGATATTCACTCAAGTCCCTTTATTTATGGGAAACTGCTACTATTGAATTCTTTCTATTAACTCTCAAACTTTATTAGTGGGACATTTAAACTTCGCATTATCTAGCAAAACCCAGTAGAAACTTTTAGTTTTGAAATGATAACTTAATTTCATATACAAAACAGCCAATGGTCTTTTTTTTTTGGCGTTGTTTTGTGATTCCTTCCTATTATCTCTTATCTGTTGAGAAGCATGAACATTGTCTCAAGGGCTATATCCTGACTTTATGTTAAAATGGTAGATTTGTCATTCTCCAAAATGGGCTGATTTATATATCCCATCTTAGATCAGACATGAAGTGGCCTCAGCCTTCAGAGATGGAAATTGCTGATGGAATGAAGTGGCAGTTGAATACCTACACCTGCACATCAACCCTCTGGAAACATATTTCTGTTCCTTCTGTTCCCCACATGGTAATGTTTATTAGGTATTATTACCTAGAATGCTAGAATGGGAGCAGTAGATCAAAAGAAAGAGATTTGAGAGCTAGAACTGACAGGAGTTGCTAATAATAGATTGGAAGTTGAAATATGGGTCCCCAATAAATTATCTGCAATTCTAAAATTAAAAAAGCTCCAGAAAACAAGGGTTTTTGTTTTTGTTTTTGTTTTTGTTTTTGTTTGGTTAAGTTTGCAGCAAACTCTTTTGGCTGCAAAACTTTACCTGAACTCGCATGAGGCTGTAGTTATTATTTATCTAACTGTAAATATTCACACATGAATTTTGCATTTGTGTTTTGCTACAGAGATATTAATGTGTTTGATTAACAGGGTGCCATTCCAGCCCCCCCTGGGGTGTTACTAATATATTCTTTGTGTTCTCTCTAAATTATTTTTCCAAAATACAAAACATTTTGAATTCCAAAATACATTTGGCCCCAAGGGCTTAAGGATGTGGACCTGTGCTATTTGTATATGATTTTGCTTTAAAACTTCATTGGTCCAATGATGATATAACAAACTGCATATTATCTATTGAGTACATAGTGACTTTTTTTCCTAATATGCAGCTAAGGTGCGTTCTAGGAATAAGAATTTTGAGAGGATTTGGGAAACAGGAGTAAGTAATTTCAAAATGTACTGAGGAAAGGTGTGGCTGTGCTGCTTCATAGTGGACACAGATGACTAAGAACCTAGAAAGGTTCTTAGCAAGGAAATTTTTGGGTTTGGAATAAATAGGAAGAAGTGTAGAAACAACCTAACAGTTGGGGTCAAATTACGTTAGAAAAGCTATTCATATTATTCCCTTATTTTCCTTTAAATGGCTGCAAGATCTGGTGATTTCCATTCTTTCATTCTTGATATTGGTGATTTGTGTCTTCTGTTTTTGGCAATCTTGCTACAGAGTTATCAATTTTGTTGAACATATCAAAGAACCAACTTTTAGTTTTATTGAATTTTCTCTATTGGTTTTCTGTTTTTAATTGTATTGATTTCTGCTTTTATCTTTGTTATTTCCCTCCTTCTGCTTGATTTGAGCTTATTTTGCTCTTCTCCTAGTTTCTGAAGAAAGAAGTTTGGATAATGGATTTGATACTTTTCTAATATATTGTTTAATGGTATAAAACTCCCACTAAGTCCCTGCTTTAGATGTTTTATTTTCATTTTTGTCCAGTTCCATGTATTTTTAATTTCTTTTTGACTCAGAGATTATTTAGAGGTATGTTGTTTAATTTCTAAGCATTGGAAGTTTTTTTGTTATGATTTTATTATTGACTTCTAATTTAATTCTTTTATGGTCAGAGAAAGTATGTTGTATGCTTTAAGTTCTTTTAAATTTGTTAAATTTGATTTATAACCCAGGGTATGGTCTATTTTGGCGAACATTCTGTGAACACCTAAAAACACATGTATTCTGCTGTTGTTGGGTGGAATGTTCCATAAATGTCAATTAGGTCCTGATGTGTTTATATTTAGGGCTACCATTTTGTTATTTTCTGTTTTTTTCCCTCTGTTCATCGTCATTGTTGTTCCTCTGTTTCTTCTTTCTTGCCTTCTTTTGGATTCTTTGAATATATTTTGGAATAGTATTTCATTTTAATTTCTATGTTGTGATTTGGACTATATCTCTCTGTATGGTTTTTTAGTGTGTGCTCTAGCATGTACAAAATACATACTTTTCATAGTCCATTTAGAATAAAAATTTTACTATTTCAATTGGAGTGTAAAAGCATTAGCACCATACAGGTCCCCTTACCTTCCTCCTTTTATGTTACATTGAAAAGACCAATCAGACAATCTTACACTTTTTGCAGAACTCAAGAATGGGAGAATAGCCTGTTATAGCTACTGAGATACTTACCATCTCTGTTGCTCTTCCTTCATTTCTGATATTCCAAATCTCCTTCTAGTATCATTTCCTTTCTACCTGAAGAACATCCATTAGCAATTCTGGCTATGAATTCTCTTATTTTTCCTTCATTTGAGAATGGCTTCATTTCACCTTTAATTCTAAAGCAATTTTTAAAAATTTTTTATTGTTATGTTAATCACCATATATTACATCATTAGTTTTTGATGTAGTGTTACAATCTTAAAGCAATTTTTACTGGATACAGAATTCTGGAGTGACATTTCTTTTCTTTTAGCAGTTGAAAGATGGGCTACTTTATTCTGGCTTCATGGTTTCTGGTGAAAAATCCTTATTCTGCCTTCATGGTTTCTGGTGAAAAATCCTGTCATCTGAATCATTTGTTCCCCTATAGATATTGCATAGTTTTTCTGTGGCTGCTTTCAAGATATTTTTCTTTGTCTTTCATTTTCAGAAGTTTGAATATGATGGCATGGATTTGGGGAGTTTATTCTGTTCAGATTTGTACAGCTTCTTGAATCTGCATTTTTATATCTTTTGCCAAACTTGGGAAGTTTTCTGCCCTTAATGCTTCAAATGTTTTTTTTTTCCAGCACTATAGTCATTCTCTTTCCCTTCTGTGACTCTAATGACACAAATATTAGACCTTTAGATTGTTGTCCCACCGGTCCCTGAGGCTCTTTTTGTTTCTTTTAAGTCTTTTTTTTCCTGTTCTCCAGAATAAATAATTCTATTGGTCTGTCTTCAAGTTCAGTGACTCTTTCCTCTGTCATCTGCATTCTGATATTGGGTCCTTCAATTGTGTATTTTTATCTCAGTTATTGCAGTTTTTAGTTCTGAAACTTCCATTTGTCTTTTCCTATATCTTCTGTTTCTTTGCTGATGCTTTCTATTTTAACTCTTATTTCAGGAGTGTTCACGATTACTCATTCAAGCATTTTATAATAGCCACTTGAAAGTCTTTGTCAGATAATTTCACCATCTGTGTCATCTCATCACTGGTGTATGTTGATTACCTTTTTGTCATGCAAGTTGAGATTTTTATGGCTCTTCATGGGTCAACTAATTTTGGATTGCATCCTGGACATTCCTGATTATTACTTTGTTGGATTGCGTCCTGGACATTTTCGACTATTACTTTGTCTCTGGGCCTTATTAAATTTTATGGAGAATGTTGGTATTTGTGTTTTAGCAGGGATTTGACCTGGGTAGGTTTAAGCTGCACATTCTGCCTCCTTCTCTGGCCTGTGGTTCCAACCAGTGTCAGCGCAGTTTTTGCAGCCTTTGTGCTGCTATTCGGGCCTGTCCTGCATGTGTGCCACCCGATGGTCAGCCTGGGGTCTGGGTGTTGGCCTCTCCCCTGTAATCATTCTTCAGTATGTTCATCAAGATCAGATCTACCATTGTGTTTTCATTTTCATTTGTTTCCACGTAATTTTTGATTTATTCTTTGATTTCTTCTTTGACCTATTCATTGTTTAATAGCATGTTATTTAACTTCCATGTATTTGTGGGCTTTCCATATTTTTTTCTATGGTTAATTTCTAGTTTCATAGTGCTGTGGTCAGAAAAGATGTATGGTATGCCTTCTATCTTTTTGAATTTGTTGAGACCTGTTTCGTGAACTAACATGTCATCTATTCTGGAGAATGCTCCATGTGTGCTTGAAAAGAATGTGTATTCTGTTTTAGGTTGGAATGTTCTCAATATATCTATTAAACCCATCAGTTCCAGTATGTTATTCAAAGCCATTGTTTCCTTGTTGATTTTTTGTTTGGATAATCTATCCATTGATGTAAGTGGGATGTCATGGTTCCCTACTATTATTTGTATTACTATTGGTTAATTCCTCTATGTTTGTTATTAACTGTTTTATGTATTTGGGGGTGCTCCCATGTTGGGTGCATAAATATTTACAATTTGGTATATCTTCTTATTGGATCATCCTCTTTATGATTATATAGTGTCCTCCTTTGTCTTTTGTTAGTCTTTTATTTTTTTAAAGATTTTATTTATTTAATTTGTCAGAGAGAGAGAGAGCACAAGCAGGGGAAGTGGCAGGCAGAAAGAGAAGCAGGCTCCCCGCTGAGCAAGGAGTCCAATGTGGGACTTGATCCCAAGACCCTGGGATCATGACCTGACCCGAAGGCAGATGCTTAACTGACTGAGCCACACAAGCATCCCTGTTGTTTATTTTTTTTAAAAGATTTTATTTATTTGTTTGAGAGAGAGCAGGGGGTAGGAGTCAAGGGAGAGGGAGAAGCAGATTCCCCACTGAGCAGGGAGCCCGACAAGGGGCACAATCCCAGGACCCTGAGATCATGACCTGAGCTGAAGGCAGACGCTTAACTGACTAAGCCACCCAGGCGCCCCTACAGTCTTTGTTTTAAAGTCGATTTTGTATGATATAAATATTGCTACCCTGGCTTTCTTTTGACATCCATCTCCTGAGGCAAGGGAAATAAAAGCAAAGGTAAACTATTGGGACTACATTAAAATAAAAAGCTTCTGCACAGCAAAGGAAACAATCAACAAAACTAATAGGTAACCCATGGAATGGGAGAAGATATCTGCAAGTGACATATCCAATAAAGGGTTAATATCCAAAATCTATAAAGAACTTATCAAACTTAACACCCCAAAGATAAATAATCCAATTTAAAAATGGCCAGAAGACATGAACAGCCATTTCTCTATGAAGACATACAGATGGGCACTTGGGTGGCTCAGCTGGTTAAGCGTCTGCCTTCAGCTCAGGTCATGATCTCAGGGTCCTGGGATCGAGTCCCACATTGGGCTCCTTGCTCAGCAGAGAGCCTGCTTCTCCCTCTCCCTCTGCTGCTCCCCCTGCTTGTGCAATCTCTCTCTCTTTCTCTCTCTGACAAATAAAATAAAATCTTAAAAGAAAGACATACAGATGGCCAACAGACACATGAAAAGATGCTCAGCATCACTCATCATCTGGGAGATGTAAATCAAACCCACAATGAGATATCCCCTCATAGCTGTCCGAATGGCTAAAAGCAACAACACAGGAAACAGCAGATGTTGGTGAGGATGGGGAGAAAAGGGGAACCTCTTGCACTGTTGGTGGGAATGCAAACTGGTGTAGCCAGTCTGAAAAATAGTAGGGAGGGTCCTCAAAAGTTCAAAATAGAACTACCTTATCATCCAGCAATCACTACTGGGTACTTACCCAAAGGACACAGAAACCCTAATGCAAAGAGATACATGCATCCAAAAGTTTACTGCAGTATTGTTGACAGCAGCATTATTGACAGTATGGAAACAGCCCAAGTGTCCATCGATACATGAATGGATGAAGAAGATGTGGCATGTATTTATAGTGGAATATTATTCAGCTATAAAAAGAATGAAGTCTTCCCATTTGCAATGACATGGATGGAGCTCGAGAGTATTCTAATTGAAAACCTAACCCTCAGCCAAACCCTAACTCTAACCCCTAACTGTTAAACACTAACCCCTAATCCTAAGCCCTCACCCTGATCATAACCCTCTACCTAAATTCATCCCTCTGTAGAGGTCTCTGAACTGCAGGACAGTAGGCCCATACCCTTATCCCAGCCCTAACCGTAATGCTTATCCTTATGCCAACTCTACACCAAGTCCGACTCCAAGATCTGAGGAAAGAAAATATTTGGTGTATATATACAATGGTGTGTTACTCAGGCATGAAGAACAAGGAAATCTTGCCATGTGTAATGACATGGATAGAGGTAGAGAGTATTCTTCTTTTTTTTTCTTCTAATGGAAAACCCAATCCTAAGCCAGACCCTAAACTTTACCCCTAACCACTAACTGCTAACGCCTAACCCTAACCCGTCAATCTGACTATTACACTTGCCCTAAATTTATCCCTCTGTAGAGGTCTCTGAACTACAGAACAATAAGCTCATACTGTCACCCTGGCCATAACCCTAACCCTTACCCCTATTCCAGCCCTACACTGAACCCTACTCTAAGATCTGAGGAAAGAAAAGATTTGGTAGATTTGGTGTGTATGCACACACACACACACACACACACACACACACACACACACACACACACGGATATTACTCAGCCACAAAAAAGAATGAGATCTTGCCATTTGCAATGACAAGGATAGAGCTAGTATAATGCTAAGTGAACTAAGTCAGAGAAAAACAAATACCCTATGATTTCACGCATATGTGGAATTTAAGAAACAAAACAAATTGAGCAAAAGGAAGAAAAGAGAGGGAGGCAAACCAAGAAACAGACTCTTAACTATGGAGAAGACCCTGATGGGTACCAGGGGGGCGGTGGAGGGGGATGGGTGAACTAGGGGCGGGGATGAAGGAGGGCACTTGTGGTGATAAGCACCGTGTTGCGGGTGTTGTATGGAAGTGCTGGATTGCTATATTGTACACCTGAAACTAATATTACACTCTGTGTTAACTATACTGGAATTTGAATAAAAACTGAATTGAAAGAAAATCAAACCTACCCCTGCACAGGTGGAGGGAGGGGCACCATGAGCGCAGGAATTCACAAACAGCTTCCCTGTGTTTTTCTATCTCTGCTCTCTCTCCAGTATTTTCCTCTGGTCCCAAACCCTACTCACTTCTGTGATTGAGACAAGTCAGCGTTCCAAGTGGCGGTAGGACAGAGAGAATTAAAAAAAAAAAAAAAATTGTCTCTCCGCTCATGGAGCCACAGCTCCACCTAATGGAGAAGAAAACTTCTCTCCTTGGAACATTGGCCACCTCTGTTGCCCTGATAGCACTGGGAGCTGGGGCGTGAGAGAATAGAGAAAAAGGAGGAAAGAGGAAAAACACTGGGGGACTTTCTGACTTTCTCTGAGCTTTCGAAGTTCTCTTTAGAGCTACTCAGGTCAGAGCTAGACTCATGGAATTTTCTCTCATCTGTACAATAGTGATCTCTTCCAGGTTTCAAGCTGCTTTCAGTCCAGTGTGGAGGATAATGGAAGGGAAAAAGGATAAATTACTGCCAGTTCAGTGGTACTTTTAATTCTGGTGATTTCCGTACTCTACTTGCTGATGTTTACTTTTCTATTTTCTGTCTCTATCAATTTGACTATTGTAGGTACCTCATTATAAGTGCAGTCATACATTATTTGTCCTCTTGTGTCTGGCTTATTTCACTCAGTGTAATGTCTTCAAGATTCATCCATGTTGTAGCATATCTCAGAATTTCATTCTTTTTTAAGCCGAAATAATTTTCCATTGTATATATTTACAACATTTTGTTAATCCGTGCATCCACTGATGGACATTTGGGTTGTTTCCATCTTTTGGTTATTGTGAATAATGCTGCTATGACCACTGGTGTACCAATATCTGTTTGAGTTTCTGCTTTCAGTTCTTCGGGTATATATCTGGAGGTAGAATTGCTGGATCATATCATAATTCTGTGGTTAATTTTTTTAGGAATTGTCATACCATTTACTCCAGTGGCTAAAGCACTTTATATTTCTACCAGCAATGCATGAGGGTTCCAGCTTCCGAACACACTCACCAACACTTGTTTCCTGGATTAAAAAAAAATTATTATAGCCACTGCTAA